GTGAATTGAAGTGTCCATTGTTTTGTGGGGTTGCTGGTGAGGTCATTATGTCCTGATTTTTGTTGGGAGTGTTCTTACGTCTGCGTCTAGCCATCTGGTTATTTATAACCCTCACTGTTTGTTCCTCGAGTTTGTAGTTCGGGCTATGATCTTCTCTTTCTGTTTTTGGACTGTTTTTTCAGGAAGATGAGAGAGGTTCACTGGTTTGGGAGTATGCGTTGTGGTTTCAGTTTTGCCTAAGTAAGGAATGTGACGCTGGCGCTATTCGCATCCACTTTTAGCAGGCGCAGTGTGCATGCGCGGATTCTTTGACTATTGCAGTGGCCTGCAGGCCACTATTATGCAGTTCTGTCTGAGATCCAGGGATTGTTTGCCTGGATTACACAGGTGGACCCACAAGGCAGAGGCTTCAACGTTGGGGTCGCTATCCCAGGAATCCCTATGATGCCCACACTAGGGGTGTGGGTGGCAGGGATCTCATCTGGTTGCTTCTGTGGAGAGGCCCTGGGTCTGGGGCAAACTCTCCCTAGAAAGCTCACTCACTGTCTTGCAGGACCAGTTAGAATGCACAGGGGTTCCCCTTGCTCTCTACTCTCTGATTTGGTCCTGCTGCAGAAAATGCACAGGTAGGCTAACAGTCAGCTCTGTGACACTGTGGCCACAGGACTTGGTGTCCACCTTTCCTGTGTGCTGCCTCTCTGTCCTTTCCCTCTGCCAGGAGGGGTTATATTGACTGGTCCCGGGGTAGCGCGGGAAAGAATTAGGTTGAGTGTTCTCAATCCCAGATCCTGGGCCCAGATCTCTCTGCCAAAAGCAGCCTGGTGGAAGAACCTATGTTTGCTGATCCGGAGAGAGTATCAGGTAGGGTTGAGTGTCCTCAGATCCAGAGTTTGGGTTTCTCTGCTAGGGCCGCTGGGTGTGCTGGAGAGGGTGTGCTGTGTCCTGTGGCAGGCTGCCTCTCTGTCCTTCCCCTCCACTAGGGCAAGCTTATGGCGGTGTTCTCAGGGGAGTGCCAGAAGTGGTTGGGACTTCTCAGTCCCGATCCTGAGCTGGGGTTTCTCTGCCAGGGGTCGGGGAGGGGGGCGCCGGTGATAGGACTTGGTGCTAGACCTTATTGTGCTGGACCCAGGAGAGTCTCAGGATGTGTTGAATGATCACAGTCCCAGATCCTGAGCTGTAGTTTGTTTGATAGGAGCAGCCGGCAGCACTGGGGTCCCGGCACTGTGAATCCGGCACTGTGAAGCCGCTGTGCACCTCTTTATCCTTCTGCTCCACTGTGGCAAGGTTATGGCGGCGTTTGGGGGAGTGCCCGAAAGGATTGGGTTTTCTCAGCCCCGATCTCGGGTTGGGGTACAGACCATGTGGTCTGTGGCAGATTCTGCTGGACGCCTCCTGCCTCTTCCGAAGAGGGATTAGGGATTTTGAGCTGGGAGCACAGCTTCTCTCCGTGCATGTCGGGAGCTCAGTTGTGCTGGCGGTGGGTACCCATGGTCAGCGAGACCTTCCAGGGAAAGACTGGGTGACCCGTGATCAGTCTCGCAACTTTCCTTCCCCGTGGGGTTTTCTTACGACTGGGACTCCTAGTCTCAGGCACCCTTGTGCCCACCAATCAGCCTGGGAAAGTGATTGGGACACGCAGGCTTGGGGCTCCAGCCAGGAGACCCAATGTCCGAGTTACCTGGGATCTCTTCAGGGTTCTGGCTGTGCGGCCCGAGAGTGGACCGGACCGATTCCCACGCTGTGGGAGCTTCCCTTCACCTGGGAAACAGGATCGCTGTAGTTTTAGGGCCCAGAGTTCAGTCTCCTGGTCGCTGCACAGAGAGTGTTGTCCCGCTTCTCAGACACAGTGTTCTCCCGGTGCTGCCATCTTGGCCCCCTTTTAGTTTTTTTTTTTTCTCTGAAAATCCTGGTAATTATTTTTATTTACTTTTTTCTTTTACTCCAATTCCCAGTACCTAATTCCAAATTTTAGTATGTGTGTATTTATTGAACATTCATCAGGTGTTTATTAAGTATGTATAACAAACCAGGTATTTACTCTTTTACATTTTTTTTGAGGTTGCCATATTGGTTACATATAATCCTTGAATTGAGAATCCACTCAGCAAGGTGCACAGCATTCAAAACCATCTGTTGTAGAACACAGTCCCTGTACTTGTGCTAGGCCTTGACAATAGGAAACAGCATGATAGGCTTTGTTTCAGGAATTTTATAATTTAATGGGGGAAAAAGCTTTACATGTTGAAAGACTACAGAATAAATTACACTTGGGAGACAGAGGCAGGTGCATCTCTAAGTTCAAAGATAGCTTGTTCTACAAAGCAAGTTCCAGGGCAGCCAGAACCACACAGAGAAACCCTACCTTAAAAAAAAAATCACTTGCGTTTAAAATGTAAATATGGAAAACCAATATATCTCTGTGGACCATCTAGAGAAAAGTTTCATTGGAAAGAGCTTTTTGTTTTGTTTTGTTTTGAGACAGGGTTTCTCTGTGTAGCCTTGGCTTTCCTCGGCTCACCTTGAAAGCAGGAAAACTTTTAGAGGTAAAGAGGAACAAAGACTATTTCAGGAAAGTTTCCAGTAGAAATATCTGTACTAAGAGTTACTTAAGGAAAATCTAACAGAAGTAGATGACACAGTGGATATATGTGGATGATCGTAAGAACATGGGGTAGAGAAAGAAATTGAAAGTGTTTGAGAGGGATCATCATAGGGAAGCTGTCAAAGTTATACTGTATTCATCCATTCTAAAATACTGTGCTCTGTGCTGTGTTGCAGTCTCTTTGATGTGGCACTGGATAGAATATACCAGGCAGTGGTTTTCTCCAGATATGCCTAGAATAGGGTATTGGATCCCCTACTACTGGGATTATGAATGGTTGTGAGCCACAGTGCAGGTGCTGGGAATTGAACTTGGGTCCTCTACAAGAGCAATAAACACTGAGCCAACTCTCCAACCCATTACTTTATATACTTCTGGTCCAACTAGCTATGGTCTTCCTAAAATCTATGTCATCATTTCTCCAGGAGCCACTGAAGCCGTTCAAACCCCTTTCTTCTCCTTGCCATAGGAGTACCACAAAATCCAACTGGGTCACCAAAGCTCATAATAGTCAGCTATTGGAAGAAACCTAAATTCCATCAAGAAAATTAAGTAAGAGATGGTACATTTGAATAATGCTATGACACGTTGCTATAAAACAGTTGTTTGGGGGCTGGGACTGTATTTCAATGATAGAATGCTTGCCTGGAATATATTATGCCTTGGGTTTAAATCCTCAGAACTGAAAAGCAAACCTGTATACTGATATGGACCTTCTCTACTAGATGTTTATGTCAGTGACAACTACAGCACATTTTCCTCTTGTCCCTTCAGTTCATTGTTTGCCCTGTTCCTCCTGTGTATGGTGGGAGGCTGTCTTAAAAGGATCAAAGCAATGTATTGATCTACTGTGTATGGTGGAAGGCTCTTCTGTATAGGTCATGGCAATGAATGTTCTTGTCCTTTGGTTTCTGATTAATTCAATGGGAGTTTCTAATTAAAAAAAAAAAAAGAGCTGGGTATGGGTTTAATCCCAGCATTTAGGAGGCTCTCTGTGCGTTTCAGACTGGCCTGGTTTACATAGTGAGGACACTACACTACAGGACACTATGTAGTCCTGTAGTCTAGGACAGGACTACATAGAACAATGGTTCTCAATGTTCCCATTGCTGTGACCCTTTAATACACACCTCATGGTGTGTTAACCCCACCAATAATTTTTTTGCTGCTTCATAACTGTAATTTTGCTACTATTATGAACTGTAGTATAAATATCTGATATGAAAGGTAATCTGATATTTGACCCCCAAGAAAGGGTTATTCAACCCCTAAAGGGGTTTCAGCTCACAGCTTGAGAATGACTGATATATAGAGACCCTATCTCAAAACAAAACAAAAATTTAAAAAATTAAAATAAAGTAACACAGAAATTTTATATTTTAATGATTAGAGAGAATTGTTATAATGGCCATCTAAGAAAAGAATAGAAATATAAGTTGATAGGATAGTAAATAAAAATTTTGTCTGTTTTTACTTTTTGGGTGGCAAGCAGCCTAAATTTTTTTAATGGAATTTAATGTAGGAACTGGACAAATGGTTTGGTATTTAAGAGTACTTGCTGCTCTTACAGAGGACTAGAGATCAGTTCTTAGTACCCACGTCTGGCAATTCACAATTTCCTGTAACTTTAGCTCCAGAGTATCCAGTATATCCTCTCTGGCTTCTGTCAGTACCCACAAACATGTGCATATACACAGACATGCAGACAGACACATAAGTAAAAATAAAATAATAAGAATTTAGTGTGAAATGCACTAGACATCCCCATTCTAGTCATACCTACTTAACTGTGAATTCCACCTTACCAGAACTATGATTTAAATACATTGTAGGCTCAGAATAGAGAATTATACCAAGTACCTAGTCTAGAAATGGGTATGAACTGGTTCATCTAGCAAGATCTTAATCTTCGTATTTGTGAGCCAGGAGCTAGGTGAAGGCTGATTCTTTTCTTCAAATTGTAATTGTAACAGATATCTGTAGAGCTGTGGGATAATCCTGGGATGAAATACAGCAGTGATATATGTTCAGTAAAGAAAGATTTTATACTGGGAACTTCTATTTTCCCTGGATCCTTTGTCATGTATTATAAACTCTCCAAGCACAGAGGATGGAATTATCACAAAGTATTACTATCAATACTATTAGCTGAATTTTATTCATAAAGTTCTCTAGTTTAAGTGGTCAAGACGAGGGAATTAGGAACTTGAAGCCAGTCTGGGTTACAAATGAGACTAGGACTCCAGAAAAAAAAAAGCAAACAAAAATCCCTTTTATGTTTCTTGAAAGTAGAATCTAGTAGAAACTGTTGCCTGTGTTAATATAATCTTTGCAGCATTAAACAAAAAAGTTTTCAAAATCACTTACTTTTGTTCATTGTCTTTGCATTTATTTACAGTTCTGGGAATTGCCAATGCAGAGTAGGTGTCACCGGCTCCATGTGTGACCAATGCCAAGATGGACATTATGGCTTTAGTAAGACAGGATGCTTGCCCTGTCAGTGCAACAACCGGTCTGTTAGTTGTGATGTTCTTACAGGTACGTAGTTTACTTAATAGTATCATAAAATTACCCTTTATTTCTTTGATCTTGAAGTGTTTGTATATTGATTCTTTTCAAATAGTTTATTATAAGGCCTTGTTATTTTAAGTAGATATAATAAGGCATATGGCAAGTCATACTTTTATAATAACTTAAAATATTTCATGAATTTCAAGAATCATTTTGATTGTAGAGACACAGAAGTACAGAGAACAACAGAAAGTGAACTGTCAGACTGGGCAGAAAAACAATAGAACTCTTCCAAGCAAGCCATGATCACCTAGAAAATCCTGTGTGAAAGAACTGAGGCATCTTATGACTTTAGGAAGAGTCAGACAAATCCAGAATTACAGCATGCAATTCACTGTGGTCTTACTTACACAAGTATGGTCAAGGGTAGTAGGAAGATTGGCCAGTCCTCACAATTTGCATCAACAGGTAGAGAATTATGTGGTTTTAAAGTCAAAGGTGACTCTCATTAACCCTAGAATGTAGCTAGTTTATCTGAATACAACATGAAAGATGCAAAGCACATTCCTGGTGCCAATATATAGGTTCTAGTCATAAAGCTCCATTTACCATATCACTTTTTTTTTAAAAAATCTGCATTGTGCAGAAAAGCTATCTAAGAAAAGGGTGTAAAGTTACTTAGGCACAGTCATGAAATTTATGGCTCAAGATGTCTGCGATTAAATCAGTCTGTATCCATATACCACATGCTTTCTTTCCAGGAGAGGTTTGATAATTCAGAGAACAGGCTAAAGAGTAAGGGTTGGCCCAAGAAAAAGCATTTGTACTTGAGGAAGAGTTTTGACAGCTATTGGAACCTGCATGATAGCTGGAAACTAGAGGGGCCCTACACTTAAGGCTATTTTTCCCAAACCTCACTGTGGAGGAAATAGATGCCTGGGCCAGAAAAATTTTAATGCTGAGGAGACAAAATCCTTTTAAGGAGAAGTAGGCTTGTTGTGACATACAACTGTCTCTTTTTTGTCAAATTTTATTTTATGTTTATTTTTAATGTATATATTCATTTTACACCCTGATCATAGACCCCTCCCTTCTCTTCTCCTGGTCACTTTCTCCCGCCCTCCTCCCCCATATACTTTTATCTTCTTCTCACAAAAGGGGAGCCCTCCCCACCAATCCACCCTAGCACATAAGTCTCATCAGGACTAAGCTCAACCTCATTCACTGAGACTAGCTCTTCTTAATACATTGCTAGACTCTAAAAATGCATAAAATGGGTCTGAATGTTTGAACCCCCAGTGTCAAGTGCTGAATCTCTCAAAGTTTTTCAGAGCTGAGGAGATAAATGTCTGTCAGATAGTTACTCCAAAAGGTCATGCCAAAAAATAGTGAAGAACTAGAGGTGAATTGACAGATATGAATATTGAGTGTGTCTGCAACCCACTTTAATGCCTGATTGAATCGATGCCATCATTTTCTCATAGTTACCTATTAGAGGAACATAGGACTCTCATTGTTTCTTTTATATATCAGGTGTGACATACAATAAATAACAGAGACTACAAAAATGGAAAAATATGGTCAGTAATAAAAATATAAACAATGGAAACAGGACTATGTGATATTGTTATTTGAGTTAGCATTGAAACTTCAAAATAAATAAAACTACTATATTAAGGAATTAGAGGAAAAGGCAGGCAAAATGAGTAAGAAGAGATAAAATTTCACTAGAGAATCAACACTGTACACAGGTGTGCATACACAGAGATGTGGGGAGAGGGTGACAGGGGAGGAGAGATCTTGAGGACTGGGAAGATAGCTCAATTAGTAAAGTACTTGCTATGCAAGCATGAGGACCTGAGTTTTATCCCCACATAAAAATGCTGGTCGTAGTTTTGTATGTATTGGTGCCCTTCGTGTATGTCTGTAAACTACAGGGATGCATTGTCTGTGGTGGCCAGAAGAGGTCATCTGATCCCCTGTAATTAGAGTTACAAACATTTGTGAGCCATTGCCATGTAGGTACTAGAAACTGAATGTGAATCCTCTCGAAGAGCAGCCAGTATTTTTAAACACCATGCCATCTATCTCTCCAGCCCCAGTGGCATGCACTTGTAATCCCAGTGTCGGGGAAACAGGATCCCTGGGATTCGTTGATCATCCAGTCTACCCTAATAAGTAAACTCTAGGTCATTGAGAAACTCCTTTTGAAGTGGACAGCATTCCTGAGGATGACACTTGAGATTACAAATACATATGTAATTGCATGGATATGAAGCTGCAAATCCATACACACTCATTAACAGAAACAACCTAGAACCAAAAATACAATTAAAAACTGTTCATACTGAAGCATTTTGATAAAATTTAGTGGCAGAAAAGGCAGGGAGATGAGTAGGACACAGCCATGGTTTAATGTAATGTAAGGGAGGCCCAGGAAGTTATAGCCAAGAATTTTCTAAATGATTAATTTAAAAAAAAAAATCAACCTACATATCAGAAAGCCAAGCAAACGCCAAACAACAGAGTAACAACAGAGTAAACTACACCTAAGGAAACCTAGTCAAATTGTCACAAATTAAACACATGATCTTCAAATTCCCTAAATGTAAAAAAAAAAAAAAACAAAAAAACAAAAAAACAAATTCCCTAAATGTAAGATTGGAGGAACTTCCTGGAAAGTTTTTTTAATATATATTTTTTTAATTTATTCACTATACTTCCTAATTGTAGACTTTTCCCTCTTCTCATCCTGGGCCCATCCTCCCTCCCTCTTTTCCCTCCCTCCCTCTTTTCCCCAATCCTCCCCTCCTTAGAAAGGAGAGCCCTTCTCCTCTACTAATTGACCCCAGCCTATCTAGTATCATCAGGACTGGCTGCATTCTGATGCAAGGCTGCCCTTGCCAGGGGAAGTGATCAAGGGGAAGGCAACAGAGCTTATTTAGAGACAGCCCCTGCTCCCCTTACTAAGGAACCCACATGGAGACTTTCTGCATATCTGAGCAGGGATCCTAGGTCCTCTCCATGTATGGTTCTTGGTTGGTGCATCAGTCTCTGCAAGACCCTCTGGGCCCATATTTGTTGGCTCTCTTGGTCTTCTGTGGAGTTCCTGCCCCCTCTGAGTCCCTCTGTCCCCCAACTCTTCCACAAATCTCTCTGCTCTGCCCAAGGTTTGGCTGTGAGATCAGCATCTGCTTTGATCTACTGGTGGGGAGAGTTTTTTAGGGGACATCTATGGTAGGTTCCCTCTCTTCATCTACTTCTGTTGTCCATTCAGTTTGTACTTCTAAATGAGATTTAAGCATCCTTTCTAGAGTGCTCCTTGTTACTTAGCTTCTTTAGGTCTGTGGATTGTAGTATGGTTATCCTGTATTATATGGTTAATATCAACTTATAAGTTATTACTTATAAGTTATTCCATGCTTGACTTTCTGGGTCTGTGTTGTCTCACTCATGGATCTTTTCCAGAGCCATCATTTGCCTGTGAATTTCAAGATGCCCTTGTTTTTAGCAGCTGAATAATAATATTCCATTGTGTAGATTTATCACAGTTTCTTTATCCATTCTTCAGTTGAGGGACATCTGGGTTTTTCCAGTTTCTGGCTATTATGAATAAAGCTGCTATGAAGATAATTGAGCAAGTGTACTTGTTGTATGGTGCAGCAGCTTTTGGGTATATGCCCAGGAGTGGTATAGCTGGGTCTTGAGGGTAGAACTATTTCCAGTTTCCTGAGAAAGCACCAGGTTGATTTCCAAAGTGGTGGTACAAGGTTTCCATGAGATGTTGAGAAGAATATATATTCTTTTGTGTTTGGGTGAAATGTTCTGTAGATAACTGTTAGGTCCATTTGATTCATGACATCTATTAGTTTGATTATTTCTCTGTTTAGTTTTTGCCTTGATGATCTGTTCTTTGGTGACATTGGTGTGTTGAAGTCTCCCAGTGTTAATGTATGGGGTTCAATGTATGATTTAAACTTTAGTTATGTTTCTTTTACAAATGTGGTTGCCCTTGTGTTTGGTACATAGATTTTCAGAATTGAGACATCATATTGTTATATTTTTCCTTTGATGAGAATAAAGTGTCCTTGTCCTTCCCCACATCTTTTGATTAATTTTTGTTGAAATTAATATTAGATACCAGAATGGCTACCCCAGGTTGCCTTTTGTGTACGTTTTTTTTTTTAAACCTTTTTCCAGCCCTTTGCTCTGAGGTCTATCTTTATTACTGAGGTATGTTTCTTGTATGTAGCAGATGATGGTTTTAAATCCTTTCTGTTAGCCTGTGTCTTTTATTGGGGAGTTGACACCATTGATGTTGAGGGATATTAATGACCAGTGGTTATTAATTTCTCTTATTTTGATGTTGGTGGTGAGAGAGAGGTTGGGGGAGAAGGAGAGGGAGAGATCAATCTTTGTTTTGGTTTTATTGATGTGGGGTTATTTCCTATATTTTCCTGGGTATAATTACCCTCCTTGGGTTGGAGTTTTCCTTCTAGTATCTTCTGTAGAGCTGTATTTGTGGTTAGGCATTGTTTACATTTGTTTTTGTCATGGAATATCTTGTTTTCTCCCTCTATGATGAATATAAGTTTTACTGGTTATAGTAGTCTGGGTTGACGTCTGTGCTCTCTTAGTGTCTGCATGACATCTGTACAGTCCCTTCTAGCTTTCATAGTCTCTGTTGTGAAGTCAGGTGTAATTCTGACATATCTGCCATTATGTTACTTGGCCTTTTTTCCTTGTAGCTTTTAGTATTCTTTCATTGTTCTGTACATTTAGTGTTTTGATTATTATATGTTGGGAGGATTTTCCTTTCTGGTCCAATCTATTTGGTGTTCTATAAGCTTTTTGTATGTTTATAGGCATGTCTTTCTTTAGGTTGAGGAAGTTTTCGTCTATGATTTTGCTGAAAATGTTTTCTGGTCCTTGAAGCTGGGAGTCTTCTCCTTTTTCTATTACTATTATTCTTAGGTTTGGTCTTCTTATAGTGTCCCAGATTTTTTAGATGTTTTGTGTCAGGAACT